TCTTAGCTGAATAACTTTTGTAACTTTAATAAGGATTAATCTATATTTTACATTTGATTACATTTCATTTCTATTACTGTACCTGAACTTTGTTCAGTTGTGTTTATTTGTGTTATTACTAATTCTTTACTTGTTCTTATTTTATTACCGACTATTTTCATGTCTTTAATAATGTTTGAAATCTATATTAGTTTGTCTAGATCAGCGGTGTAGCCGGGGCCATTTGCGTGTATTCTATTTACAACATGTTTTTACGGCGTTAAATAATGTAGCCAATCACAGACATATCTGTTGATTTCTTGAATGCTACAGGTGTTTAAGCTAGAATCTACTCAACACTCAAAACACTGAGTCGTTGACCAGTACCGAGCTCTGCGAGCTAGAAAGTGAAGATGTAGATGTAAATAAGAGATTCACTGATTTTTGTGAGATCGCGATATTTTTCTATAGCCTAATCCATTCAGAATTTGTATTAAACTGTTGTTTTTCACCTACACACTGCATAGATTTGACATAGTGTAACCATAGCAATGGACAGGACAAATATATGTGTGAAAATAGATGTGTATGAGGGTTAGAGCACCCTCAGCCTTTCAGTCAATAATGCCCCAGCTGATATACAGAAATTCCCTTCCTAAATGATAAAATCAGCTATATTTTTACATAAAAACCCACTTATACTGTTTGAGCAAAATTATTAAGTATAATAAGTATATATATAAATTATGTTTGAATTAAATAATTGGCTTTTATACTATAAAGTCAAAGTAAATTTAAGAAAATATTACCTGGGAATATTTATTTCATATTAAGCTATTTTTCTACCCACTTGCATAAAATGAAACATTAAATTCAGATTTATCTGTAAAGCACTTTTCACAAAGAATATCATTTCAACGCAGCATGCTGAAATTATAGTCATATAGAACTACTGTAAGGCCAGTGTTGCCAAGTCTGTGGTTTTCCCGCGCAATTGGACTGCTTTAACACTGTTGCCGCGGGGTTGTTTTTCACGTCTGCAGGTTGAAGCGACCCCAATAACAGTGATATTTAGCCACTGTAACGCCAATTTTACCAGGGGAACCCTATCAAAACCATGATTTTTACATGTATTTACCCCCCGATTGGGCTAGTTTTGTTGTGAGAACCTGGCAACCCTGTGTCAGACCTGGAACTACCTCAGCCACGCAGTAGACAACTTGAAAAATAATCTGTCAACCAATTTCACAGTACAGTGTATTTATATAAATGACTAATTAACCAACAAAACAACAACATTCGGTCATTCATTTAGCTAGTTATTTGGTGCTGGGTGTGACTGGGTAATAGTAAACCACTTTTTCTTTTAGGACAACACCACTGGTCTAGATGTTTTTGCTGCGGTATCTTTGGCAAAAGTTCATTGTGTTCAAGTGTTCTTCAGGCTGCTGATTTTTGTTCATTCAGGTGCAACAAAATGTTTTGCAAAAAGACAGAATAAATATGTTTGATATCTAAACGTTTGACTAGGAATCGTTAAGAATCGCTAAACACCCAACCCTGCTACCGAGCCTTTACTAAACACAATCTCTGCCATACTTTAGCTCTCCATACACTTCATTCCTGCAGACAGCTTTTACGGAAGACCTTTTTCATGGCGATAAATCAACCCTGAGATAAGCGGAGCTTAGTCTGCGAGAAGCCATCTGGAGGCATGAAAAAATATTATTTCAACTTCATAAAGCTGAACATGCGCGTGAATTAGATTTCCCCAAGTCTCAAACAGATCTAGAACACATTGAGTGGAGATTCTTCACCTGGACAGGTTTTCTCTAGAGACATCGGACTCGTAAGCCTGGCTCCGCAGGGGGCTGAAGTCCGAGTACTCGTCCTCAGTCCGGTCCAGGCTGGACTCGGCGGACGCTGGCCTGCACATCTGTCTCTGGTAGTACGTGTGGATGCTGTCCCGCGATGGATTGTTCCCCTGCAGGGCAGCAGACGAGGGGTTAAACCTCAAGGTTTACAGTGCTGTCCGTTCCAAGCATGATGCTCATTATTCATGTGTATTCATGTGTTATTACAGCTTATTTTAACATTATGTATATACTATTATTACATGCTTGATTCCGATTGGTCAATCGTGGCATTCTGAGGTCAGATATTCGCAAACGCAGCTGCCGCCATCTTACGTCTTAGTTATCGACTGTATTTACTTTCAAATGAAACCTTCAGTTTTAATAGTAGGTCTGCGGTAATACTGTTGAAGTGTTCGTCTTGTTGTCAGAACAATTGTTTAGTACACTGTGCTAGATTATAAAATAAATAGGTACGATTTTATAATGGTTGCTTCTCATATCGTGTCTGCGTCATTATTTATGTGGTGAAAAGCTGTGTAAACTTTGCGTTTAAAGAGCTACTACAATATTTCAACAC